TTCAAATTCAGCTTTTCAGAGATTGCTTAGCTTAAATCAATATATTAATTACAACATCAACACCCTAAACAATTTAAAACTTCTAACTACCCGCGTCCAACGTACTCCTACTTCCACAAATCATAAACACATTCCCCTTACATTTACGTTTCACCCATTCAACACACAAATAACACGTTTATTGTTGGACAACTTTCATTTCATAACACAGGACAATACCATCGGCTACACGTTCCCTAACAAACCTCTAATTAGTGAAACATTAACATTAAAGATTTACTCATCCATAGTTAACTTCCAAACAACATACAACTATCATCTGATACTCAAGTTGGTACGTACAATTGTCAGAGGAGCAGATGCTACTCTTGCCTTTACATTGATCATGGAACATCTGTCAGAGACCCTGAATCACCGTATTCTATGACCAGCCATTTCAACCGTACATCCAAATGTCTAACTTATTATATTATTTGCAACAACTATGAGCATATCTACGTAGAAGAAACCAGCTGTATGCTCTCTGAACGTACACGAGAGTGCTTACGTAGCATCTTGGTTAAAAATCAAGATAAATCTGTAGTTCGGCACATCAACAAAGCTGGCCATTCCCTTGAGTCCTTTAAACTATTTGTCCTTTGACATTCCCCCCTCCTACAGCAATCAAAGAATGTTGTATATACCCCTCCTACAGCAATCAGAGAATTTTGGATATACAAGGCTGTTTAGTGTAAGAGTTATTATTTGGTTCATTTAGTGTTCTAATATTTAATGATTATTTAGTTTTCATAACAAGAGTGTTAAAAGTAAATATTTTAAAGGCGATAGTTATGACAAATTTTGTTACGTAACTCGGTAATATTTGTTTGTTTTAAGTTAAGCACAAAGCAACACAATGAGCTATCTGTGCTCTGCCCACCACTGGTATCGAAACCCGAATTCTAGTGTTATAAGTCCGTAGACATACCGCTGTGCCACTGTGAGGCAACTCGGTAAGAGCCGTAAAGTTGTGTGTAGTTCAATAGTTGTAATTTGACGTCACACTACTCGAACCTTCTGTATCTTTCTCGTTGCTTTAAGTGAGTATTGTTACATCATAGCATGTCGTAGTTCGTAGAAAGTTCTAGGTCTCTTTGGGCAATATATATATATATATATGTGTGTGTGTGTGTGTGTATATATATATATATATATATATAGTA